ATGTCATCCGTTAGTGGTAGTGGAAAGGCATCCTTCTTTGTAACGTCATTCAGCTTTCTATAATCCGCACAAAATCGAGTCGATCCATCTTTTTTTTTTTTTACCAGGGTGATCGGCGAAGACCAGGGTCCATAGGCTGGCTCAATGACACCTTGTGTGAGCATTTCTTGAACAAGGTCATTTACGTGCGAGCGCTTAGCCAGCGGCACCCTGCGAGGTGGCTGTCGAATGGGCGCAGCATCACCGGTTATGACGCGGTGTGCGGTCAGATTTGTTTTTCCCAAATCGGTGTTGCTACTGCTGAATACCGTCGAAAAACGAGATAGAAAGCTTTTTAGAAGGACAGCGTCATCTTGTTGAAGTCGAGAAGCAGTAGTCTCGTATAGCGGAATAAGGTGAGCGCCAAGTTCAACTGAACACGAGCCTAGCGAGGTAGCAGGTGTAGTTTCCTTGCAAAAAGCAACTGTTGGTTGAGCATCTTCACTTTTTGTTCTGCTGTGGCCTTCTTCTTGGGAACTCGAGCAAGTTATTGTCGGAAGGGTGGTTGCCGACTAGGGATGCCGCGAACTTTTTTCGAATCGAAGTTCGATGATCGAATCAAGGGGTTCGAAAGGTTCGAAACATTTCGATTTTTCCAATTGTCTATATCGTAAAATTCGACGGAAGTCGAATTTTCGAACTTGTTAAGCTAGGAAGTTCGACGCTTTTCGAACCGTCGAACTTATTACGCTAAATAATTCGATCTTTTTCGAACTTTCGAACTTATTGCGCTGCAAAGTTGAACTTCCGAACTTTACTGGCCCAAAAATCGACGAATTTCGAACTTATTTATCACGACAATTCGAAAATTTTCGAACTTTCGAATCCTGAAAAGTCAGAAGGTCGACGAACTTCGAACTTTCAGGGTAAAAGTTCGACGTTCGTCGAACTTCGAAAGACCGGCGGACGGTTTCATTTGAATTCAAGTAGTTAGGTACATTCGTAATTTTTTTTTCTCGAACTTTTACACGCGGTGCTGCGTTCCTTACGAAAGACAATGCCGTTTGTTTCAATGTTCTGGCGTGCTTAGTTTTAAAGAAATAAATTCCCGAAGGGCCGAGGAAGGACTACGGGTTTTTGACGATTATCGTTTGTGCCAGATTTGAAGCGCGCTGTAGCGGAAGCTATTTGTGGTAAAGTTGTTATACTTTTTTAAGAATGATCTATGTATAGCGTAGGTAAGTGCCGTCTTAAGATGTAATTATTGTTATTCAACGTGAGTTTCGAAGAAATGTCCAAACATGTATCTACATGCAATTATGCCCTAAACTTGATATTTATTTTCGTCTAAGTTGTTTGAGCTACCGCATTTATATTAACACCACAGACAGTACATATCATTGCCATCTGCAGAATACAAAATAATGTATTTATTGTTTTTTCACGTTAAGGAATAAATTAACTCATGGGAGATTTCTAATAGTGTTCAAGTTCAGCACGTCATTAAAAGAAATTTTTTTTTTCGCTTCACGTTCCTGTGACGTGTTTCTTTTAGCCTGTACACATTTTGGTAAAAGAAACTTGTTTCGAAGTTCTGAACCTCTGAATATGCAAGGATACAACACTTCCGGCGACTTCTTGGTAGTTGTTTTTTTTTTTTCTCCAGCTTTTTATTATTGCCTTTATTCTTTTTTTTTTTTTTTTTTTTTTTTTTTACTATTGGCACAGGTATTTAGGTTTAAAAGACATAGCTTTGAACTTCCGAACCACTAAGCATGAGACGAGTAGTGCCTTCTGACAACGAGTTTCTAACAATGACCATCTACGCAATCTTTTATGCAGTGAAGAGCGACAGTAGCTATACATATGCATAAATAATTTCAGATTAAAATAAGCTCGATTACGCGCTCTTTCCCCGTATTGTTTTCTTTAACAGTCCGAAATATCTGGAAGGAGGGGAAGGAAACTGAAGCCCCCCCCCCCCCCCCCCCCTACTACCCTCTTTCCCCCGTTTTTCCTCTTCTGACGCCAATTGTAAGGTATAACGCACCTCGACTTCGAGTTGTGTCGGCTTTTTGCGAGGCGATTCCTCCGTCCCAGAAAATAAACCTCCAGGACAATTACAAACTTAACTTACTATATTTCCAGCGTCACTCGGGCGGCGTTTGATCGGATTACCACCAGCGTGCAAGGGGTGGCGAGGTAGTTTGTCAGGTCGCTTTAAGGTTTTTCTGAGCCTCAACCTCTTGCTCGCCCCTGGCTGTTTCGAACTGGATGAGTCTAGTAAAACAGTGTGTTCGTGTGATCACTACTGCGTGATGCAGGTTAAAGACCACCCCCCCCCCCCCCGGGCTGGCGGTCACAATTACTGATCCATGGTCACACGTCACTCTGCACTGGCAAATATTCCAGCACATCCGGGACACTCGTCGTCTCATTTCATTGCCAGACCAACTTCGCAGAATTTAGATATCACACCCTAACTTTTCTAAACTTGATTTTGTGAAAACCAGTGAGTCGTGAAAACGTTATTTGAAACTGAAACTGTGGAGGAACTTGAAAACCGGACTTCGAAATTTGAAAACTTGGACTAGAAAGGAATTAAAAATCTTCGAAGTTTTTTTTCGACTGTAGCGTTAAAAGAGAATCGAAACCTTCGAAATTTTCGACCTTTATGCAGAAAGAAGTTCGAAATCTTCGAATTTTTCGAACTTCATGTCTATAAAAATTCGTAGCGTTCGAAGTTGTCGAATTTTATTTCCAAAGAATTTCGAAATCTTCGAATTGATCGACCCTGAAGTAAAAATATTCGAAATATTCGAATCCGAAATTTTAGAAACCGTGAAAGCTTCGAACTGTTCGAATTCGAAACTCCACTGTGATCGAAAGTTGCGAATGTTTTGAATTCGAACCTCGGTCGGTACGAAAATATCGAAATTTTTCGAAATCGAAGCTCATTTCGCTTCGCAAATATCGAAACCTTTCGAAATCGAACCTGGGGTGGCTCGCGACATCCCTGTTGCCGACTGATGCATGGTTGTCTACCGTGAGGCCTTGCGAGCGGCCTCCGCTTCTAATGCATACGTGTGAGCGGCCCGAAACATGCGGGGGTGGTAAAGACGCACAGCTTCCTGGATATCTTCAGATGCAATAGCATCAATGAACGCCGCAGTGCTGACAGCATCCACGGTGTCTTCGGAAGACCCGAGAAACGACAAGCGCGCAAGACGCTCGATGTCGTCAGCGAGCTGGGACAACGTCTCACCCGATGCTTGTCGTCGATGACGTAGCTCAGCATGGTGAAGGTTGTGGGAGCCGGGGTGAAAGACGAGGTAGAGGGCACGTGACAGGCGGCCGGCGGAGAAGACACGAGCTGGCGCGAGACATTGCGAGCTGAGCGAGGCTGGTAGCTGGACAAAGAACGACGGAGCCGGGGCTGCCTAGCCTGGCCCATAACGAACCCCGGAGCGGTCCACCAGCGAGGTCTGGAGCAAGACCGGTGGAAACGGCGAGCCCGGGCCATATGACCAGGGCTATGACGATCCCGGGGTGGTTCCGCAGCGAGACTCGGGCATTGCCCGGGACAGACAGCCTACGCAGCGCTGGCGTGGGAAAGGCGATCCGCAGGCCTGGACACGGACCCCGACTGTGAGCTCTGATCGACGGGCGACAACAAGGGTCGGCGGGCCCGGACTACCGGCTCTCGACGACGGGCAACCGAGAGGTACAGTAAACCCATTCGCTGCCTTCTCGTTGCTGTATGTCACTCCCTGGGTGACGGGCGAAGCGCATACCGATCGGGCGGGAGTATTAGAATAGAGGGACCTCCTCCGTAAAAGAAACCCACAAGGTGACGTTGAGGCCCATCGCCGAAACGTTCTTCTAACGCCTGAACCAGCAAGGTGTACGAACCACGGGATTCAGGCGGCATGTGGTGGAGCACTTGCAACGCTGGACCGCTGAGGTTTACTGCAAGTACTTGTGCCTGCTGCTCTTCGGTCCAGCGAATGGCTTTAGCAAGAATCTCGAACTGTGTTACGTAGGTAGACCATGTGCCTGTGCTGTCAAACTGCAATGGCCGCGGCTTAAGGCGTGGAGCAGATAAAGGTATAGTCGACGCGACGTTTGTCGTCACTGATGTTGGCGGCAGATAACTTGGACTTGCCTGCGAAAGTCCTGGCTGGACCAGCGCTCGCAGGCCATCAGGAAGTGCGACCGATATTCGTTCGAATAAATTCGACAGAACCTCCAAAAGGGCCGCGTCTCTGTGCCTGAGCTCCTGGGCAGTCCGTTGGTGGTGGGCATCCAGCAGGGCTTCAATGGCCGATGAAGTCTCAGTTCGAAGGTTAGGGTCAATGGAGTCGGGAACCGGCCGGGGCGCGATGGCTTCTCCGGTTCGCGGGATCTCATCCTCAGGCTGTCGAGGAAGGTCCATGCGTGCCGGCAGAAGGCGTCTTCACTGAAGATCCCACTTCTGACACCAGTGTAACGCTTTTATTTAAGCGTGTCCTTTGCCCCAATCTGTTCCCCGCTTGTCCCCGACGTGACGTCTTCTCCCTCTTCTTACAACCGTCACAATATTAATGACACTGTTTTCATTCTTCAAACTCCACACATTGTTCTCTATGCTGACGATACGAATGTTTTTTACTCGTCTAAAGACCTATCATCTCTTCTTCCTGTTATAAAGCTGTGGCTTGAAAATTTGTCGAAGTGGCTAGATGCCAATCAGCTTCTTCTAAATGTGAATAAAACAAAGTATATTGTTTTTTCTTCAATTAACAGACCAATAAATCTTACCAGTGAATTAATATTCCAGTCCCGATCTTTAGAACGGGTTTCCGAATACAAGTTCTTAGGTGTACAGTTCCACGAAAATCTTCGTTGGACGTCTCATGTAAGTCTTGCGAAACGTAATAACGCGCAGTCAGGCGGTACGTTAAATACGCATAGTGAGGTCGGTCCATTTGTATAAACGTGGAAGTAACCCGAAAAATGGTCCTTTATTCAAAAAGTAATTTCTAGACGTCAGCATATTGCAGGCTCCCGATGAACTGTTCAATCCAATTTATGTAGTTCGACACCCGAGTGTAATACCCGTGATCCTGTGCGCAGACCTGACCAAATGATACTATTCCAACCTGCACTGTATGTCCCTCTTCATGCTGCATGGCTGCACCGCCGGAGTCATCCTAGGCACAGTGAAAAAGAGCGTGTTCAGAAATGTGATGAAATCTGTCCGCCCATTTTAATTCAATAGCAGAAAGAGCCCCCGTTGCTTCCGTATTCTTATCAAACTATCTCTCTCTTTTTCTCCTCCGGTGATGATGTGTACTCAGGTAACAAGCCAGAGAAGCGCCTAACTTGGCAAAGCTGCAGCAAACGTAAGGGCCTAACTTGGGCCTATAAATATAGACTGCGAGTTAAGCTAGGTGATGATTCCTGCATACTGAAGAATAAGCCTATAAGCGAGGACAAAAAGATGAGTCGCACACAGGACAGGGCGTACCTTTTCACAGAAATTTATTAGAATACACAAATAACAAATTCCACAGTAAGTACACATTAATATACGTTAAATACGCATTAAAGATATGTATATGCACTCTCGGAAATGTGGGGCGTAGTGCTTACTCCCCTTGTCCCATATAATACAACCCAAAACCTCAGTTCGACGCACACTGCACCGACGTCGAACCGAAGGCACCAACTTTCGCGAGTGGCTTGAGAGCCGAGTGGAACAACTTATTAAAATATTTTGCATTAGAACTTGGGTTTGGGCTAGTTGGTTCATTACTGAATAAAAGGTTAAAAAGCGCGAACAAACGAGGACAAAAAGGAAACACGGACGACAGGACAGGCGCTTCACTCTCAGCTGGTTTTTATTAACACCATTGTCACCTATATATACACATTGCCCAAACCACATCGGATTCAATCGCGACAATCAGAGCCAACCTTCCAGAAACACCATCTCACTCTGGAGCAAATACAAAGACGGAGCGCTGACGCAATTGTTTTCTTTCTTTTTTATGTAGAATGCCTCTATAATCTCTCTTTCCGTTTTTTCCTTTGCCTTTCTTAAAAACTTTGTGCCAGTCAGGTCAGGTTTACATCCACATCTCCTACAATGGTCAGCGAGATGGCCCCCCGCGTTTTTGTGCACACACAAATTATGTTCACGTGCTCTATCATTATCTCACGTGCTCTATCACAAGTTGTGGCAGAGTCTACATTGGGCAGACTGAGCGCTGCTTCAATGATAGAGCACGTGAACATAATTTGTGTGTGCACAACAACGCGGGGGGCCATCTCGCTGACCATTGTAGGAGATGTGGATGTAAACCTGACCTGACTGGCACAAAGTTTTTAAGAAAGGCAAAGGAAAAAACGGAAAGAGAGATTATACAGGCATTCTACATAAAAAAGAAAGAAAACAATTGCGTCAGCGCTCCGTCTTTGTATTTGCTCCAGAGTGAGATGGTGTTTCTGGAAGGTTGGCTCTGATTGTCGCGATTGAATCCGATGTGGTTTGGGCAATGTGTATATATAGGTGACAATGGTGTTAATAAAAACCAGCTGAGAGTGAAGCGCCTGTCCTGTCGTCCGTGTTTCTTTTTTGTCCTCGTTTGTTCGCGCTTTTTAACCCTTTATTCAGTTATTAAAATAGCTCAGGCACCATGTTACTGTCTACAAAACAAAAAGGTTTTTTTCTTTTGCCATACTGCAAAAAAAACAGTTTTTTTTTAATTTTTGTAGTCTTTGAGGCGGTACTTAAGCTGTTTAATATGTTATATCGCACCATTATCACGCCCCTCGTAAAAGTTGGGACCTTTAATTCGATGGGAGTGAGCTGTGCCTCGAACTTAAGTCTTGAGGTGCATTATATGGAACATATAACTAAGACTACACCCTTTTTTATATTGTGGACATTCTAATAAATTTCAGATTAAAGCTATCCCTTACATGAGCGCCACTCATCTTTTTCTTTTCTTTTTTTTTTAGGCGTAATCCACACTATAGGTTTTGCTCGGTGGTGTTTGTTAGTGCAGAACAACTTTGTCTAACTATATTCGGTTTTCGGCGAACCTTAGGCATGCCAAAGTTTTGTTTCTTTCTGATCCGCCGCAGGAATGCCAAATCAAGTGCCACGCTCGAGCCATAACTGCCAAAGCAAACCCCAATCTGGGGATTTGATGGCGTCTTAAAGTATAGCTTTTCTCTGGTGTGCCTCAAAAGTACTCTTTTACGCACTCCAGAAAAAAAAATTAAGAAAATGCGCCTTTTAAACACGATGGTCAATACCATAATTTGTGTTTTAGTCTCAAATGCTTCAAATCGACACTTTACAAAATGAACCCAAAATCGCTGCTGTCGCCACGCTGATTCTCGAAGAAATGCGTGAGGATTTCGCGCAGCGGTTTTATATACCAAAGCTTTTTGAATGCAGCCTCTTGTATCTATTGTGAATGCAGCTCTTGTGTCTCTCGTTTATACCGAGCCTATCACCATAAACGTCCTTTAAATTTAAAACTTTTGAGGCCTGCAGCTACTTTTATCCAAATTACCTCGTCAGCCTGTCGTCTACGGGCGGTTGAAATTTTAACGAACAGACGAAGGTTTGAACAAGCAGACGAATTTGAAAGAGCAAATGACAGTTTGAACGATCAGACGACCCTTTGAACGTGAAAACGCACTACGTGTTCTGCCGGTGGTCAAAACCACTTGACGGTTTTTCAAGACTTTTGTTGACAAAAAAAAAAATGACGACCACAAGTCTCCGTTATATAAAACCGCTTCACACGCAAGTTGTTGTGGCTCGACGGCGTCTGTTTTTGTTTTTTGTTTTCCTTTTCATGGCCTTACCCACGTCCTCGGACGAACTGGGCGGGCAAAACAAACTAGTGAAAACTGATTTTGATACTTTTTCCGACGATTTTGGTGTAGCTCCAGTCGCGGTGTTTCGGCGAGAAGGCAGGTTTTAGTCTGGTTTCTTTCAAAACAAAACAGCAGATGAACTACCAACATGGCGACATCCGCCCACACCCAGGGCCGGAAGTGTGCCCGAAGCGCCACCACCGCAGATTGACATTACAAAGTAGAGTTGGTGTATAGTTGTGCGCAGTGGTGTGAAAGCCATGAGCGGGAGAAAGAGGAGAGCCGCACCCTTGTGCGAATATCTAGATAGCTCCGGAGTTTACTAGGACGTCTTGCCATCTAGAAATTGTCCTTTTTAATCACAAAACACCAAACACACAATATGACGTCAAAAGCAAGCTTCTTCGTTAGAAGACCACTTGAGCGCCCATTTAAGTCCAGACGTAGCCGACGCTACCAGCTGATGGTATCTATGAGACAACGTCAAAAGCACACCATCCTACTGTTCGTCATGTTTCTCTACGTGTTCTATCATCGATGAACCAATCATAAACAACAGTCTATGTCAACGAGCTCCACCATATCCCTGAAAAAAGATTTAAAAAATACCGCTCCTCACCCCTGAAGAAGAGCCGCGTAGGCCCCGAAACGTAGGGTCTCTTTTCATTAAGATTTGGTTGGTTGCCGTCCTTTATTTATAAACAAAAAAGGCACAGTGACTTGCGCTTTTTACGCCGCTGGATTGATTCCATTAATTCGGGGTGTTGGCTGTGCCTGTACTTAAATGGAGTATATTGAGATAGTACACTCGGTTGTGGACCGCAACATTCAAATGATTATTAATCTTTTCTCCGTTTACTCGATTTGGAATGTATCCATTCACTATTTACGTACTGACTCTCTCATTCTCTCTTTTTGTTTCTACCGCTAAATATGATGTTCTCTTAGCGTTTTTTTTTTTTTCTCAATATGTAGTAAAGCTTTTCAGAGCATTAGAAATGCGGGGCGGGGCTTTATTCTTTTTCAACCGATCAGATGGCGGCATCAGCCTTTGATATCCCTTAAAAAAGAATCACGAGGCAAGAAACCTGAACATTACAAGCCTTGCTATTTTTAAGCTGGTCGTGGCTACGCATAGTAATCAACGGCGGTACTTGATTCCAGCTAGAAACCAGCCTACCGTGCAGGAGTCTCGTCCGGGGGCGCCAGCGCAAAACATGGCTGACGGAGAAAAGGGTATCTCTCGGCCGTAGCACTCCCTGTTATTTTTCACAGGAACGACGACAGCTCGCAAAAAGTCTGGTTTTCTCCCACCTAAAATGAAAATAAAAAAGGTTAGGGGGGGATGGCTTGATTTGCAGTATAAACATTACACTCTTTGTGCACTTTACTATAATAAAGTGATCACTTCCATTTCCAATTACTCTTGGACTTGGTCGAAAATGTTTCAATTAGATTACTTTATTACTTAACTGTGAAAAGTAATTGTCCGTTACGCGAAAAAGTAACTGTCACTTTTCCGATTACTTCAGATTTTCAAAGGACAACATTTTCTGCTGGTCTAAAAGCGTTTTTTTTTTTTTTTTTTTTTCGTACTGTTTATTATTAAAACAGAATCACCGAATTCATACCCATAAAAGTGTACCATCGTATGCTTGCGCCCTCTATTTTTCTTTCTGTCTTGTAGAGCGCAGGTTTTAGGCGCCCGTTTCGGGTTTGAGCGGCGTTGCCGTCGGCGTCGCCGTCACCGTCGCCGTAACCGCGCGGGGCATTATGGGTAAATTTTTTCGCTAAAATTAGCGGAAAAATTCCCCCTAAATCTAGCGGGAAAATTTTCCCGCTAAATCTAGCGGAAAATTTTCTGCGCTAAATTGAGCGAAATACTTCCCCCGCTAAATCTAGGGGGAAAATTTCCCCGCTACATTTAGCGGAAAAATTTCCCCGCTAAATCTAGCGGAAAACGTTCCCCGCTAAATCTAGCGAAATAATTTCCCCCCTAAACCTAGCGGAAAAATTTCCCCGCTAGATCTAGCGGAAAATTTTCCCCGCTAAAATTAGCGGAAAAGTTTCCCCGCTAAATCTAGCGGAAACATTTCCCCTCTAAATTTAGCGGAAAAATTTCCCCGCTAAATCTTTCAGAAAAATTTCCCTGCTAAATCTAGCGGAAAATTTTCCCCGCTAAATTTAGCGGGAAAACTTTCCCCGCTATGTCTAGCGGAAAGTTTTCCGCGCTAAATTTAGCGGGACAGCTTTCCCCGCTAAATCTAGCCGAAAAAGTTCCCGCCAAATCTAGCGGAAACATTTTCCCGCTAAGTCTAGCGAAAAAATTTCCCCTCTAAATCTAGCGGAAAAATTTGCCCGCTAAGTCTAGCGAAAAAATTGTTCCCCTAAATCTAGCGGAAAAATTTCCCCGCTAGATCTAGCGGAAATTTTTTCCCTGCTAAAATTAGCGGAAGAATTTTCTCCGCTAAATCTAGCGGAAAACATTTCCCCGCTAAATCTAGCGGACGGCAATTCCCTGCTAAATCTAGCAGAAAACTTTTCCCTAAATGGAAGCCGAGCAGGAGAGGAAGAGGGGCATAGCGTCCTCTCCGTACCTTCCACTCCTCCTCAAGAGCTGCGCTCTAATTCGGCATTACAGGGAGTTGTGAACGGCTTTCTTTTTTCTGTATTTTTCGCCGCTTTTCCACCGTAGATAAGGTGGACTTCTTTTCGTTTAGACGATTACGATCATTTCTAGTATTCTGCTACAGACATAAATAAACTGTCAAACAAGAAACGCTGTTCTATATTACAATGTAAAATTTTAAAATAGCTTTTCCAAATATTATCCCCAATTAATAATGCTATTTCCTATTAATAAAGTGATTTCTGTTTAAAGGAATGGGAGTACTCCGGTGACTAAAAGATTTATTAGATGATGATTGTTCCCGTAAACTTAACTTTCACATGTCAAAAGTAATATTTAGACAGGTACTAAATACTTACATTCAATTAATTATCACAATTGTCTTCACACGTAGAGCAAAAAAAAAAGAAATTCCCATGACACCTAAGCATTTGTTATGAGTCGTGAATTCGAAAGCCATGAATGTTGTTCTTCCCCTCTCTTAGTTTTTCTGCGGTGTACTGGCGGGGACGGCCACGTTCCACTACCGCCGAGGTTTCTGAGCGCGCGCCCTCTCGTAAAGCGCCCGCAGCATCCCCTCCGGTAACGACTCCCAGGAGGGCGGTGACCGAGCACGCCTTCTCGTTTGGACCCAGGGGTTTCCCCAAACCCCCTCGACAGTTATCCGAGCTCCCAAATTCGTTCTACTATTCCTGCACCTAAGAAAAGCATTATCCCAGTTTAAGGACTGTTCTGGAAGACGTATATCAGGGGTCGGCAACGTTACAAATCTGCCCTCCAGTGAGGGCCAGACGCAAAGTTGCGTAGGTGGGAGGAAGGGAAGGGGGGGGGGGGGGGGGGGACAGGCAAAGAAAAGTGCAAGAAGATAGGGAAGGTGTTCTCTGCCCAAGCTGGGAATTCCGGACTATCCCAACTGGAAGCACTCCTTGTTCCTGTCTAACCCCATTTCAGGTCAAAACTGCCACGTGGTCCTTGAGTGTGTGAGAAAGCAGCAGGGGCGATGCTTTTCTAGTGTTGTGCAGGGGGCCAAACAAAACTTTCACGCCGGCAGCAGGTTGCCGACCGCTGACCTAAATCATCTACTGAGGCATAACTGCGTGGCAAACGTTCCTCATCAATAAGTACTACGTTGTAGCAAGGTTTTTTTAGGACTAAATATAGACAAGATACACATGTCCTTTGTTTTTCATAAAACATGTATCTACAAAAGACATCAAGAGTTCATATATTTATACTAAAAAAAGGAAAACTTAGTTAAAGAAATGAAAGAAAAGGGAACGCAACAGTTACCATGTCTTGGAACAACCGTGCGCAACAGCGGCTCTCGTGTCTGGAGTTGTCCTTGTCGGGCCCCGGTTGTATCTGGCAGTCAGGAGCGGGAGCGGTTGGCTTCCGTCGATGATCCAAGAGTCACCATACCGTGTGCTCTCGCAGTACGAAACCGGCGAGCGTAGATTTCTATTCGCTGCCATCACCGGGACAAGGCTTCTGGGGGGCTATGTTGCACGTTTTGGACTCCCAAGAGACTAGGGAGAAGGAAGTGACGTAGGTGTGAATGAACGTATCTTAGCAGCACCACGCAACGCGTCACCAGCGACTCTACCAATCAACATCCAAAGAGCGTTGTTGACGTCACTTCCTTCTCTCTAGTCTCCTGGGAGTCCAAAACATGCAACATAGCCCCCCTGGTCAGACAGCAGGAGCGAGCAAAGTCAAAGTCAAATTGGACGTTTTAGTGATTTATACAGCGTAAGGTTGGTCTGCCAGTAGGGGCGACACTGGTTTACACTGTAGATGAGGAATTTTGCCAGTGCAGTACGACTGCCAACCTGGGGTCTTTAACGTGCTCACGCTGTAGTGATACACGACCGGACGCCGGTACGATGCTTATCCAGATTGAAACGGGCAGGTGTAGGGCTCGAACCCAGGATCCCTGGGTTCTGCAGCGCGAGCTTTCGCTCCACGCCCGTCGAGCTGGGTGTGCGCTTCAGCCCACTCGGTCACCGATCCCCTGCAGGAGCGAGCAGCCGACTGCCCTGGTCGATGGTATCTTTCGGTTCTCGCGCGTTCTCCCGGCCAGTCCTTCGCACGTTCTTCGTGCACGCACTCCGCATCTCTTCTCTTCTTCGTCGTCTTCCGTTGTCCCTCCGAGCCGATCCATGGTTTGACTTACACTTTTTCTTTTGCACACTGAGTCACATCATTACAAGGAGCCCCCGTTTAAGTTCTTTTTTTTAAGTACCAAACGAAATCACACACACAAAAATAAAAACCCAAACCATGATGATGTGCGCAAGTTCATAGCAGCCTACTAAGATAACCTGCACCCATATTTTCACTTCCTTAAATGTACTCCACGCGAAACGAGTACTCTTGAAGCATCAGACTCCAGCGTAACACTCGGTTGTTAAGTTGTTTTGCATTGTCTAGACATCGTAATGGATGGTGTTCTGTCCGAACAACACAATGTGTTCCCTACAAATACACATGGAACTTTTGTATTACCCAGGCCGTGACCCAGGAATGTTATTGTCCTCATACCGACTTCGCACTTCTTGGGTTTTACCGTAATACCGGCTTGCCGCATTCTATTAAATATATGTTTTACCGTCTCCAGATGTTCTCGAATTTCCTTGAAAATACGCTCCCAAAAATGTACAACCCAAGGTATATTACTAAAGAAAAATTCTAACCATAAATTATTACAATCCATTCTACTTTGCACTCTTCTCAATCGTAATGAATGAATCGTTATGAAGAATGATATGAATCCACTTCGCTTCCCCCAACACTCAGTGATAATGCCCACCATCGTACCAAACCACTTCATACGCGACGAAGTGTTTCCTGGCAGTTTTCGATCACAGCGCCTTCCGGACTAATTCGTCGAACATCTTCATGAGCTCTAGGTGCATCTTGTCCGTGTCGTCGCGTATCCTGCGCTCCTCCTCCTCCTCCATGTCCAGCCTCCTGACCTTGACCGCCATCTCTGCTTCAAGCTTGATCCTCTCAAAGGCCAGCCGCTCTTCGTCGAGCTTGAGCCTTCGACTCGAGCTGCAGTTCTTTTTTCTTGGTCATTTGTCCCCGGTCCACTTGCCTTTCAAGGAACTCCTGCCGTCCATCCTGACACTCTTCCTTGGCCCCTCCGTTTCCGTGCTCCATGGTGTCCTCTCCGGACGAGACGGAAGGGTCGGCTCCCGCCCGGCTGTAGCCCTCGATGAACTCGGCCGGGACGCTGTCGTGAGGATCTGTCTCCGGCACGGGGTAGGTATCAGTCGTGCCCAGTGGCGAACCCACTGTCTGAGCGTCAGGGTCCCTCTTTTTGCGGCGCGGCCTTGCGTAGAGCACTTTGCAGGGCTTGGGGTACACCTCCTGCTCCATGTCGAAGACCTGCTGGAGCAGCTTCTTCTCCAGGCACTGCTCGTGAGTGGTTGACCTGCTTTTCAGGTGCTCCTTGGCGTCGGTGTCGCTTCAATGCGAGAGCAGCACGTCCCCTCGTTGTCTGGCACCCCAAACGTTACTAAAATGGTTTAACCTACTCGGCATACTACCGTCGACGCCAGGGACGATTTCACCTTCCGCGTCAGCCACCTCCTTCAGGGTTTGTTCGGTCAAGTATTTCACTCCATGAATATTCCCTACAATGACGTCATACAGAGGACGTTCCATACACTTAGCGGTTACCTGTCCAGTTAGGAACGGCGACACAAGGTGAATGTTTGCCTCTGGCAACACCAGACACGTCCCGTCTACTAAGAACACGGGACTGACAGTTCCCGGCGCACTATCGCGGTGTTACTCCCGGTGTCCCTCAACACCCTTACTTCTGTGCCGTTTAATACCCCATCTGTGATCGGCATACCTTCCGACAGAATTGGTCTCGCCTTTTCAGTCATATCCATGGGGGACGTTCTGAAGGCGTTTGTTGAGATTTTCTTCTCTCCCCGTAATAACGCGTTCGTCTTAACAACAGGATCATCGTCGGGTTTCGCGAAACATGAAACGTTTGTCTCATGTATATATATATATATATATTGTAAACAAAGAGGGGAGAGAGTGTTTACTGAATTTATTACATCAAAGTTAGGGGAAGAGAATGAGAGCCGGAGAAAAATTCGGCCAGGAGCGGGAACGAACCCGCAGCCTTCGCATATCGGGGGCGACGCCCTAACCGAGTAGACCATCCCGGTAACTTGCTATGGCGGTCTCAATTTTTGACCAGCTCTCTGTCTTCCTCTTAGTTTCGAATTCGCTTAACTGGGTACACAACAGCCGTTGCGGCAGTGACGTGGCACGTCATTTCAGCTTGCAAATGTCGGAAAGGGCCCGTCTTCCAAGGTACTTAGGGAGCGACTCCTCCCCATGGGGACAGGCTGCACCGAATTTAAACAGGAAGTGAGTGAAGATTGATAAGTGCAGCCGTTGTAATATTGTAAACGAAGAGGGAAGAGCGTGAGTATTAAATTTATTACATCAAAGTTAGGTGAAGGAAAAGAGAGAGAGAACTGGCGAAAATTTGGGCCAGGATATATATATATATATACATATATATATATATATAGAGAGAGAGAGAGAGAGAGAGAAAGAGAGAAATCAGCAACGGTTGTCGTCTACCCAGTTAAGCGAATTCGAAACTAAAGAGTACACAGAGAGCTGGTCGGAAATTGAGTCCGCCGAAACCAGTGACCGGGATGGTCTAATTGGTTAAGGCTTCGCCCCGGACAGGCGAAGGTTGCTGGTTCAATCCCCGCTCCTGGCCCAATCTTTCGCCAGCTCTCTTTCCCTTTCCCTCTCCCTAACTTTAATGAAATAAATTCAATAATAACCTTCTCCCCTCTTCGTTCACAATATTACTACGGCTGCATTTGTCAATCTTTGCTTATTCCCATTATCTATACGGTGCAGCCTGTCCCTATAGGGAGGAGTGGTTCCCTAGTTATCTTAAAAGACGGGCCCTTTCCGACATTCGCAAGCTGACATGACGTGCGCGTCACTGCCGCATGTCGGAAATAGCGCGGGCCTTAAATCAGCAACGGTTGTCGTCTACCCAGTTAAGCGAATTCGAAACTAAACAGTACACAGAGAGCTGGTCGGAAATTGATTTCGCCGAAATTAGTGGCCGGGATGGTCTAATCGGTTAAGGCGTCGCCCCGGACAGGCGAAGGTTGAGGGACTCCAGCTCTTTTTCCCTTTCCCATTCCCTAACTTTAATGAAATAAATTCAATAATCACCTTCTCCCCTCTTTCTCTCTCTCTCTATATTTTTTTTTCGTGCTACCATACACTAGCAAATACATCGTTTGCTAAATCGCCCAAAAGAGCATCATGCGACTGTAGTTACATGCGATACACGAGCTAGCATCTGCAGTATTAACTGTTCTAATGCAAAAGCCGAAAACTAATGTCGTCTTGCACGGGCGTTCGTCAACGCCTTATTTTGGTTACTTACTTCGAATATTTTCTAAAAAAGGCTAACGGGTGCGGCGTTTGTACCTACATTTCGAGCATTTTCCTCGATGCTTGGGTAATTTAGTAATAGGTCTATTGCGATGTTAGGACCCGTAGTCGCGTGCAATCATTTTTTGAATCTCGCGCACCTTTTTTTCAGCTTAAGAAAAATTTACACATGATGGCCATTTTTATGAAATCGACACTAACCAATGTTCTTCAACACCCTCAACAACGCTTCTATTGCATGGTTAGCTCATAAAAATATTATTTAAAGAAGGAAATAATCAGTCTGTGTCAGTCGGCCAGGTAGCCACATCGCAAAAAAAAAAAAATAACTTCACTTGCTTAACAAAAGGGAACTCCGGTCGAAAACGAAACCATATAATGACTTTGTCGCTGACACGAAATATGATCGCAGCCAACTATTACGTCAAGGAGAAGCCGCGTACTCCACTAAAACCGATCTTCGAAGTGCGATCAGCTCCTTATAGCAGGGGGCAAGCGGGTTAGCTTTTAGTCAAGCAACACTGGGCGATACGTAGCGCAGCACTACCGTGGCGTCCCATCGCGGTCGTAGCTGATATCAGTGTTGCCATCCCTCTCTAGCGGATAGTTTCGGTTTTGCTGTAGACGCCCGAAACCAAACTTATCAAACTACAAACAATATCGAGAAGAAAAGAAATTATACCTTGTAATTCAGTGACCCTGAAGTGATCCAAAAATCGAAAATACTGAACGGAGTTGCCCTTTAATCGAAATGGTTCGACAACATAGCGTTCCCAGCAGTTATTTAAAGCCTTTGCATTAATTAGATGAAGGACCCTACGTATTTTTGTATATACAAACCCTAGGAAATGCTACAACTGCCACATAATAATGATAGCCGTTCTTACCTTCCCGCAGCGTGCCCCATCCAGCCACCTCAATAGGCTTCATGTAGTCCAGACGCTTCCTTGTAAGGCAAATTGTGCCGATCATTCCACGGCTCCTCCAAATGTTAAAAGGTCTGTACAGCTTTATCAACGCAATGTCGTTTTTCTCGGTCTCTATGTTGTATCCCTCGTGAACGATTAACCGCAGTGGCTGTAAAATATTGTCATACTGGTTGGAGCGCGTAAAAAGAACCAAGTGAAATATTAGGAAACCATTCTCATTTATTTTATTTAAGATGTGTTTATAGCAAGATTTTTTGTCGTAGAAAGCGTTCAGGCATTGCTTAGAAGCATAAACCCCAAAATAAACGTCTGTATTGAAAGACTGAAAACCACAGGAATCGCTAACATAAAGACGAGTGTCACTTAAGCCCCGAAATATTTGAAAAAGTTATCAGGGACACTGGCCCCTGAAATTCTTCCCGTCAAAGCAATGACAAGTGTGAATTACGGCATTTCTACTGCCCTTCGTTTAACGATTATATTTCACATATTAAGATTATTGTACACCATCATACATTTAGTTGTTTATGAGTAATCGGAGGGATGGTCGCATGTTCAAAAAGTACTAGTTTGCAGAACGCTACTGAAGTCAAGGAGAGGTCGGATAAGGTCGACTAGGTTCGCACTTCATCTTCTAGCGATGTCTTGCCGTTCCTGAAGCGCAAGTACCACTCAAAACGCGTCGCACACCTCACTGTTTTTAATGCGAAAGCATTAACTGGTCCTATGGAGTGAGCCGACGTCATCAGCTTCAAACGGAACCTTAAATCCTTTCTCCAAATAAAGCCAGATCCCAGCTATGAAACCACGCGAAGCCGAGACAACGGCACCTATGCTCCGTGTGACTAGTTGCGTGCAGTGCAGACGAAGGTAACGCCAGGCGATGGGAGAAAGGGCAAGCACTAGGGAGGCTGGGTGGGATGAGAGAAAACCTCCTCTCCCCCTTTAGCATTCCAAGTGCTCTCATCTTTTCCCTCACCCTTCATTACCCTCCTCTCCCCTCCCGCCTTCCTAGTGCTCGCCCTCTCCCTCTCTTCGCCTGGCGTTGCATTTGCCTAAACTGCGCGCAACTAGTAGCACGTAGCGTAGTTTCCCCGATCCCAAAGGAGCACAGTAAAGCTGGCATTGGCTGCTGCCATGGCCTCCGAGATCC